ATTCCTGCTTAAATTTTTATGTAAACTCAGTTCTTCAGTTCCATTCCATTACTCATCACAAAAAAAAAAAGCGATTTCAGTAAGCAGGTAATTCAGCATTTTATGCAAATAGACACCAAATAGGCCCCTAGGAATATCTTCAGCTAATTTTCTTGATTTAATTTCATAGGATTAATGTATATTCACCAGTCTCTCTCTACTACATAATCAAATCAGTGAAGCTGAAGTGGTCTATATCTAATTCCATATTCTGTAGCTTGATGAAGCAGGTGCTGAATTACTTGAATATAATTTGGTTACTTAATAACCCACAATGTGTAGAAGAATCTGAAGTAGATCACTGAAACTGCTGTCTAGCATCATAACTCACTTGCTCGGTCCCTTGCAGGGATCACTTCTTTCCCTCATCCATTGCAGCTTTTTTCCTACATTTAAGCAAAGGACAGGCTGCTAAGTGACAACTCCATTTTGATAGGATTTAGCTATTTTTTCTTTTTTTTAAGTCTTTACATACTTCTGTGTAGTTTGTTGGATATTTATGGAATTCACAATATCCTTTATCTTAATTATCCCATAAAGTGGTCTGCAAATGTAATATTGCCACGGGGATTTGTTCCCTGAGTATAGAGCATGATGGCACACAAATTACAGGCTGGTGCCAAAACATAAAACCACAGCAAACCCTACCACTGCATATAAAATGTGACAGCATTAGTACAGAGAAAAATGTTAAAATACTCTTCTTGAACAAAAATAACACCCCATTTTCAAAGCTCTGTGTTTTTCTCAATGCATTGCTTGTTACTGACATCAGCAGGAGGTCTGACACAGACTGAGAATACAATAAATGAATCAAAACTTGTTTAAAGCTGAGGCTGGGAATAATTTTGCCCAGAGGATTACTTCTACTGACCATCATCTGACTTGAAAGTAACAAAGAAATATCCTTCCTATAAACCTGATTTACAGGACAACATGACTAGTGTTAAAAAGGACAAACGGGTATTGTTGGGTGATGGAAGTCTTTACTAAATAACAAATGACACTGATGCTGTGGGGCTTTTTTTATCATAACTTAAAGACACACTTTAAAAGCACCTTAATGTTTGACTTCTGCAAAGAACCTTAATAACTTTTATCCATTGCCTATTATTATTCTGTAGTTACCACAGCAGCCATGAATTTCACTGAGGAAGAACAGAATTGTTCGCAGAGAATAACCTGCCCTTGTTAATGGGTTTACCCTCATCAAGGTTAGATACAGACAAAGGGTGAACTGAGAGGCTACACTCTCTGTTGCAACAGTGAAATGCTGAAATAATCTATTAATTCCCTTGCAGACTTTATGTATTCTCCTTACTTAAGAAAATAAGTTTACCCCCTTGAAACACAGTCTTAAATATAAGAAAAATCAGTAATTTACAGGCACAAATTCTCTGAGGAACATATTTCATTTACAGACATGAGTAAGAGATGCCAGCAATCTAAATAGCTGGTTTTTATTTCTACATTATGATCTATTTATTATTCTTGCTGTGGCAACAACAGACGCTGTGTTGAATTGAATCCATATTATTCTCCCTAACCTGAGCTGTTTAAGCATTAATTCTTTTTTTTATACTCTTTGAATACTTAATTGAACAACTGAGAAGTTCTGTTAACATAGCAACTTTATCTGCAAAATAAGTTTTGAATGATTAATACTGTTTTGACACTGTTACTGTGATAAAAGCACATTTCCTCAGAGTCTGCTCGTTGTTAGTATGTTAGTTGTATGGAGACTGATTAGTTTTGGCACTGATAGTGCTATCTGCAGTGGTATTTACAACTATCATCTTGCTCATTCTGTCCTAACAGGTTGGGATAAATGCACCTTTATTAGTATAGAGGCTTATATTACTATCACTTCTCCCAGTTCCAAAATACATCATTCTAAAATACATCATTCTAAAATACTCATTGATTTACAGACTGTACTCTCCACCTCTTATTGTTTGTTTGCCATTTGACACCTTCACTGTCTCTTACCAACAACGATTCTCTCTGAAGGTGTACTTGAGTAAGTACTTGAATACAAATATTCTTCTTCTGGGGAAGAAATACTAAAAACATTATCTAAAAAATTATCTTGTTTGAGCATATTTAAGCCTAGACAAATTTCAATATTAATTTGTATTTTGTCTCCTGGTCTCATTAATAAATGTTTAGATTGTACAAATCTGCTAAAATACCACTGGAGGAGAACAATAATACCTAGCTAACAAACTAGAAACAGAACTAAATTACAAGTGCCCCAGATTATAACCTGTATATTTGAGAAATTTCATCAACAGCCAGAAAATCACAATTTTAAAGTCATTTGACAGCCTCTGGCTTTGAAGAGTCACTTTTGCTTTAGTCTCTTAAGCTGAGTTATGTTCTAGCAATATTGCACAGGTCTTCAAAAGACATGGCCAATGCTAAACATGCAAACACAAAAAAATAAAATTCTCTTAACCCAAAAAGAGATAAAACAATACAATCACAGTGTTTCAGATTATGCTTTCTATTCTATTAAATAATACATTCTCATTACATTTTCTTTGTTCATATGCAGGTTAGTAGAGAAGCTTTATATACAGCCTTTCACGTGTTCAGCACTATGAAATATCAGCTGTATTCAAAATTTTCTTCTCAAATTTTCTGTTTCATAACACAAATTAATTTGGGATGGGGGGGGGGAGCTGTAATTCTGTAGCAGTAGAAGTCTACTCAGACTATATTTTGCTGTCTGGATTCTTGCTGCTTCCCACATTGGTTCTGAAAAGTGCCAATAAAATAGGTGAAAAATCCTCTAATATGGAGAAATCATGGGTCATTTATAGGCGGCACCACTTGAGTAGACATATAGCTTTAATGAATTTTTCCAGATCTAGTAGTTCATAGCCCTGCTACCTATATCCTATTAGCCAATTAGCTGTAGTTTGACTATACTGAAATTCTGGAAGATTGGGAATGCCAAATTTGTGTGGATGTTGAAAACTACATGTAAAGGGACCAGGCTAATGAGAAAGGAGAGAAAAAAGTTCTAGAATATTTCATAGCCCTCAAAATCTCAAAGCAAACCTCAGGATAGGAACACTTGGGCAACTATGTAGTGTTTCAGTTCTAATACTAACAAAAATATATAGCGTGGGATAGCTACCTCTGTCGAATTAGATTGCTTGTCTTTAAGAAAGGCTGTTGCACTGGGTTTTGATATTACATTGTAGATGTAAAATTGTCTCACAGAGAATTCTCCCAGTAAATTAGTCTCATCAAAAAATCCATACTTTAATAGAAAGTAAACATGATTGGTACTACATTTCATTTTCTGTACATGGTTGAACTTTGGAACAACTACTATCAAGTGCAGTAGCAGGAAAAAGGCTCAATAAAAATAAAATCCTGTGGATTACAGTAAA